TTCCCAGGGTGGAGATTGGTGGGATCTCCAAGCCAAGCCCAGGGATTGATGGGTTTTGAGGCTCAGGTATTAGTGAGTCTTGGTAGGTTTTCAAACCTGGAAGTGGGCTCAGACTGTTTACCATACATGCACACATGCCACAGTGTGTGTGTGGAGGTCAGGACCATTTTCAGGAGTCATTTCTTTCTTTCCATGGGGTGGAGCCTGAGGATCAAACCAGGTGCTTTTACCACTAAACCAACCTCCCTGCCCTATACTTTATTAAATGTATTTATTTATCTTATGTGTATTTTGCCTGTGTATATGTCTGTGCACTGTGTGCTTGCCTGGTGCCTGTGGAGGCCAGAAGAGGGCACTGGATCTCCTGGAACTGGTTATGAGCCACCATGTCAGCGCTAGGAATTGAATCTGGGTCCTCTTCAAGAGCGACAAGTGCTCTTAACCATGGAGCCGTCTCCCCACCACCCCCCATTTATTTTTTTATTACTAATACTAACCAAGTTGAGATAATATTTCTTGTACACAGCTTGGCAGCTTGTTTCATTTATTTAGCTTGATTACGAAGGAATCATGGTACTTTGTGTATTTCTTTATATGTGTGTGTATTTTACCCTTTGAGCTTTCTTCCCAGCCCCCTGTGTTCATCTTTTCAAGAGCTGTGCCCTGTGAACCTTTGGATGTACTTAACTGGTGTCATGTGTCTGGCTGTCTAGTGGCTTCTACTGTGGAATGTGGAGGTTCTTTGGGGGGATTGTAGGCAAGTTCTCTTACTTGGGAGATGAGTTATCCTTCAAGGCAATGCAAATTAGTGTCTGACACAGAGCAGAATCTTGATGTCTCTTTCTCCATGACAGTTTGAAAAGCACGTTCTGAGCTGCTGCTTCTCCCTGTTGGAACAACTGGAGCACGTTGACATGCAGAGCCCAGTAAATGTGTCCAGGAACATTTGCACTATGGTATGTGGAGAGGCCAGACTACGTCTGGGCTCCTGGAAGTCTATAATTAACACCTGCTCAGCTGATGTAGGTTTTCCTGCAAACAGTAAGCTGCTCTCCATGAAACACACAGGGAGCTGTGGCTGAGCAGTTAAAACTGCCAAGGAGTGTATTGTTTGTCATTGTCCTTCTGAGCACAGGCTCTCACATTTGAGTTCAGAAGGCCAACTTTGCCACTTCTAAGTTCACCTTAGGAAAGTGACTTTTCCAGTCTACAAAATGGTGTAAATATTCAAGGTCCTCTCCCTTCCCTGTAAGCCTGGCTGCAGCTGGGATAAACATTGGCATGAGTGCAGTACATAAGAATTTGTTGACTAATTTACAAGCAATGTCAGTTTCCTTAGCAGCAACATACCAAATAAGTAGTCCTGATTTGCAAGCCAAGGCAAACATAGGTTCTTTTATTTCAATCCTATTAATATTAATTCTTGGATTACACATCACATACTAAATAAATCTACATATATGAATGTGTGTATGTATGTATGTATGTATGTATGTATGTATGTATGAATGTATGTGTGTATGTATGTATGTACAGATGTAAGTTATAGAACAGTCACAAAAGGGTCAAAGAGGCTGTAGCAGAATTCAAGGAGTTTGAAGAGACCTGAGAGGCAAAAGAAGCTGATAGGGATGCATGAAGGTTCTCTGCTGGGCCTCTGGTGTGTGTGTGTGTGTGTGTGTGTGTGTGTGTGTGTGTGTGTGTGTGTGTGTGTGTGTGTGCTAACTCTGCTGAAGATATATTGGAAAGTGTGGTAGAGTAAAACTGTGGGATTATAGGATTGAACCAAGCCTTAGGGTCAAGTATGGCTGTAGAAATGAGGCATGGAACAATGGAGGCATTGGGTGATGTGCAGGGCAGGGTCCTGACGGACAGCAATTGAAGCAGCCCTATTGTCAGTGGGGATAGAGCTGAGCAGAGACCCTTGAGACAGTCAGTTCCCTTGACAATAACAGATGCTCAGATGACAGGTTGCTTTTATGTTAGTTGTCCTTCACTTCAGGGTCCAGATGAAGGTGTGTGGTAAGGTATTGGGCCTGACTTTCCTGTTATGATTTAAGATGCCTATGTGCTCTTATGGTTTAATTTACTTTGATACATCTGTAAGCTGGTTCCTTTTTACTGTTAGGCATGTCATGTATCAGTCTGTACCTCATAGGTATTCTGACAAGTAGTGTCTATGTGCCTGAAAGCCATCCTGCCTCTGCATCTGCTCCCCGAAGTCAAATGCTGTTTGTAAAATGGAGGTACTCAGAACAAGGCACAGCCTACAAAACCATCGTTTTACACAACATGGAACAACTTAGGCAGGGCTTCCTGAGTTCAGTAAGTATACTGGTCCAGGGACTTTGCTCCTGTTAGCAAAGGACACTGTTTTGTGCTAGATACACAGATGGTCAGCCACCCTCGTCTATTGTAGCCTTTTAAGCAGCAGCTCTCAAACTTTGTGGTCTCAGGATGTCATGATATTGTCCAAAAGTACCAAGGATCTCAAGTAGCTTATATTTATATGGCTTATGTCTATAAATATATAGAAGTTATATTTTATGATTGTATTAATATACACAATATATTACAGATGTATAAACGTATTTAGAAAGTATATTATTTCTAAGTATTTATTCATACACACATACATATATTATATATATTAGAAATTAAAACTGAGTTTAACTGGGCTTTGTGGCACAGGCTTGTAATCTAGCTACTCAGGAGACTGAGGCAGCAAGTGTAATAGCAGCCTGGGTAACACAGCAGGACTGTTCCTCAAAATAAAAAGTAACCAACCAACCAACCAACCAACCAACCAACCAACCAACCAACAACAAATAGAGCTGGGTTCAATACCCAACACAGTAAAAAGAAAGAAAGAAAGAAAGAAAGAAATCCTCAGAAGTCTAAACATACTTATTTTAGCTGGGTATGGTAGTTCATACCTCTCAGCACTCAGGAGATTGAGGCGGGAGGATTGCTTCGAGTTTCATGTAAACCTGGGCTATATACTGAGATTTTGACTCAAAAAAGAAATTTTGGGTGGCTGGATGGGTGGCCCAGTAATTAAGAGCACTTGCTGTTCTTACAGAGAGCACAAGTTTGGTTCTCAGAACCCACACCAAATAGTTCATAACTGCCTGAAACTGCAGTTCCAGGGAGATCTAGTGCCTGGCTTAGATATCTGCTGCAATTCGCATCCATGGAGGAACCTTGTTACATCATTTTGGTTAACACAAGTGAAGACGGTCTGTCTCACGTGGGCATATTGGCACAGCCTTTCCAGATTACGGTAGATGCTCTTCTCTGACATTTTACTCTTGTTCAGTGAGTGATGGTTTCTCTGGGGGAGTACAGCAAGGAGAGACCGAGCCTCCCTGTGTAGTCAAGGCTAGCCTTAAACCCGTCCTGAACAAACTCCAGGGTCTGGGGAGAGCACGGATGCTAACCCTGCTCTGTCCTGTGTCAGATGTGCGCTGCGAACAATGGCGTGCTGGTGGGGAACTGGTCGGGAGACTACAGCAACGGCACCGCACCGTACGTGTGGGCCAGCAGCGTGCCTATCCTGCAGCAGCACTACTTCACCAAGCTGCCTGTGTGCTTTGGCCAGTGCTGGGTTTTCTCTGGAATCCTGACCACAGGTGAGCTGCCGCTGGGGCAGGGGCCACTCCGCCCCACAGACGCTAACCATCCTGTCTGGGGTCATTTCAGCGTTGAGAGCAGTGGGCATCCCAGCTCGCAGCGTGACTAACTTTGAGTCAGCCCACGATACAGAGAAGAATCTCACAGTGGACATCTACCTGGATGAGTCGGGCAAGACAATTGCACACCTGACCAAAGACTCTGTCTGGTAGGCTCCCTCCTGGCTGGTTGGGGTTCCTCTTCTGTTCTCCTGTGGGCTTTGCAGCCTCCTCTGTAGACTGGTTCAAGCTGTGAGCAGTGTCAACTCCAGAGATCCACTTCGCATAACCAACCTCATTGTGTGACCCAGAACTCCTGGGAAGGCTTGTTAAGCATAAAGATCCCTGGGCTGTAGCCCCCATGGAAGAAAAGGCCAAGAACTGCCCTTTACTTCGAGCTTCTAGCCCTGGAGACTGAGACAGGCATCTGTGTGCCACCCTCTGATATAACTGGCACCCCAGTCAACAAGAGGTACTGTTTCCTCTGCTCTCTGACCCAGTGCAAAGCACCTTGCAGGCTAAAAGTGCAGAGATTTTAAGGGAGGGAGAGTGTTAGGAGGGTTGGGTGGGGACATGGCTCCAAAGCTGGATGTGACAAGTCTTTCACTTTGGCACTATATGTTGGAGACTCCAAACTCTGTTAATCCATATGATGTAACTGTCTTAAAAATAGCAAAAATAAGCCTGGCAGTGGTGGTGCATGCCTTTAATCTCAGCACTGGGGAGGCAGAGGCAGGCAGATCTCTGAGTTCAAGGCCAGCCTAGTCTACAGAGTGAGTTTCAGGACAGCCAGGGCTACACAGAGAAACCATGTCTCAAAAAAAAAAAAGGCAAGAATATGGAATATTGTCCAGCTACAAAATTATTCATCAATAAAATCATGAGTGGGGAAAAAGGTTTACAGTCATTTGCTCATTTCATTCATTCATTCATTCATTCATTCATTCATTCATTCATTCATTCAGCAGAGGCTGAATGTGTCTTCTGGCATCTGTGAGTCTCGGGAGCCTCTCCTCCACTGCCCATCTGCTCTAAGCTCTGCTCTCTACACAGCACTTCCCACTGTCCTTGCCTTTGTTGATAAAGGTCCTCCACTTCAGAACCTTAGAGGGCTGTGGTGACAGGTTCTCTAACTGCATGGCTGGCCCTGGTGGGGCTGTTTCCACTGCCACAGGAATTTCCACGTGTGGACAGACGCCTGGATGAAAAGACGGGATCTACCCCAGGGCAATGATGGCTGGCAGGTCCTGGATGCTACGCCCCAGGAAATCAGTGAGGGTGAGTTTGTATGGGGCACAGGAGGTGTGGGGATGAAAGCTATGTCTGGGCTGCTCTTCTGACTAGTCTGTGGGTCTTGGATGGTGACACTCACACTGAGCAAGGCCTTATGAAGAGGACACAGTGACAGTCACGTGATATAACAGTAAGTGCAGGTGCTCACTGGATGTACAGCTTGCAACTCACCTTTTCAAAAGTTTTAAAGTTACGTTTATTTATTTACTTGTTTGTATGTACACACACATGAGTCATGGTGCGTATGTGGAGTCCAGAGGACAGCTTGTGAGTCAGTTCTCTTCCTTCTACCGCATGGGTGTAGGAACTGAATTAAGGCTGCCAGGCTCAGCAAGTGCCATAGGCTACGTGGCTGTTTCATTCGCCCACAGCTAATCTTTCAAAGCAAGTTTTGTCATTATCTGCATCTTGCAAATCCAGGCTCAGGGAGGTGAAGTGAATGTGGCTTTCAGCCATAGGTCCCTGAGCAGTGGATCCACAAAGCCCAAGTTGGATGGAGTGGGAGTGTCACACCTTGCTGTTTACCTATTATCTGGTCCTCGGTGGGAAGGAGCTTGGGGAGTTTCTGGGCAGGTAAAATCTGGTCTGAGGTTACCTGGGAAATCTATGGAATTGTTATAGAGTTAATGTTCCTTACCAGTGAGACACTTCCCTACACATTTAAAAGATTAGTAAAGGAGAAAGCTCTTTAAGAGGGTGCAACTGTTTCTAGCTAATGCACAACAGGGAACCAGCCTCAGACACAAAAACTTTCCAGCTTATGTAGGCCTTAGGCTTACATATTTCATTTATACTGTCATCCTTAAATCTCTTTCCCATCCCAGCCCCGGGTTACACTCTGAAGAACTGAAACAGACACAAGACCTCAAGTCTGGCTACTTGGGCAAATGGCAGATTTACACAGCAAAGACATTGCCAGAATTATTTCTTATGTACACCAGTGCTGCTCTTTATGAATGGTTGTTACCCAAGTTTATCTTGCCCACCTGGTAAAATTATGCTCTTCTGATAAGAGCACAGGAGACTTAGTGGCAGACCAAGACTTAACGATGTTTATGACCCTGCACTGCCCCTAGAGCTGTCCATATTAGAGATCTGTCCCTTTATATGGGGATGGGCCTCCTGGCCAGTTTTAAGTAGGGGTTGTCTCCTTTTGTTATCAGAAATGAGACTAATCTGAGATAATCTTGGTGAGCAAACATTAGCAGAAACTTTCTCAGTAACCCTAAACTTCAATTTTGGTACAGAATTTTTGTTCCTACCATTTCTAATAAGTCTGGTTGGCACACTACCTATCTTCCAGTCATAGTACATGCAGCACAAAATTTTTTAGCTTTAGCTAAATTTTACTTTGTGTAACTTAATATTTCTTAAGCAAGTTTACTAGTAAATCCTTCATAGCATCAACTTCTTTCAAGTTTCTCCTCCATCAGAATCAAGTTATCTTCATTAATCTATATTATTTATTTAAGATTTTTCAAACAATGACAAAAGAGGCCATAATTTTGAGAAAGGGCAAGGAAGGGAATATAGGAGGGTTTGTGGGATGCCCTCTGCTATGTTAGAAACAGAAGTGTTAGTTAGTAGCCTAGTGGTGAAATTATTAAGGCCACTCCATGTAGTTAAAAGGGAGGTTTATTTTGTGGGGTAACTTACAAGTGAAGGGATAGTTTACAGAGTCTGGGAAAGGCGTGGCACAGTCCGGCAGTGTTCTCTGGAGAACAGTGCTAAGTACCATTATATATTACTTTGTTTGATTTTTGATGTTTGATGGCCTTATGAGGTCAGTACTACCTTCATACCCAATATCCAGGAGATGAAAGTATAGGTCCTACAGGGAATAGGCAGCGTGCTGTGATGAGTGGAAACAGGGGCATGGTTCCTTACCTCTGGGCCTGAGATTTCCTGAATATTTAAATTCTAAGCTGGGATGTGTCTTTGATGGTAGATAGCAGTTCAGGCTGCTGGGGAAGCACCTGCCTCCTCTTGTTTGTGTGGGATTTCTTATGGTTACTGTGATGAACTTAGGGACAGGAAGCAGGGTGAGCAGAGACCCCAGCAGCCATCCTCTCTTACTTCCCCTCAGGAAGCTTCCGCACTGGACCTTCTCCACTGAGTGCCATCCGCCAGGGAGCAGTCCAAACCCAGTATGACACCAAGTTTGTCTTCACGGAGGTCAATGGTGACAAGTTCATCTGGCTAGTGAAGCAGAACAAGGGGAAGGTCCTCCTCGCCGTGGAAACTGCAAGTATTGGCAAGCACATCAGCACCAAGATGGTGGGCGAGAACAGACGTGAAGACGTTACCTTGCAGTACAAGTTCCCAGAAGGTAGCTGTGCAGGGTTTCTACCACTACAGGCTGGTCCCTGGCACAATAACCCAGCCTCATGCTCTTTGGCAAGAATGTGACAGCATCCCAAGCAATGTGAGATGAGGCTGGACATGACTCATAGTGTGTCCACTCAAGGGCAAGATGAGGTAGCCAGATATGGGGAGGTTAGGATAAGGGAACTGCTTTAAGTTTGAAGCCAGCCTCGATTACACTGTGATGTCCTATTTAAAACAAAAGTTGATTGCAGATTGCCTGGGCATGCAACATACACCAGGCTCCAAATGTATGGCATCCTCTGTTCCCGTGACCTTGCCACGTCCTGCAGTGCTACAGATGCTTTAGGAAGCAGGCACAGAGTTGAGAGAGGTCCAGAGATGTTCTCATTGACTTAGATTCACCCAGTGTAAAGTGGCTGAGTCAGGACTTTTTTTTTTTTTTTTTTTTTGGGACAGTCTCACTATGTCACTATGTAGTTCTGGCTATTCTGGAACTTACTATGTGATGTAGGATGGCCTTGAACTCACAGAGAACTGCCTGCCTCTGGCTCCTGAGTGCTGGGATCAAAGGTGTTGGCCACAATACCTGGCCTAGGGTTATGTTTTTTAAAGTACTGGAGCTGGAAACTAGGGTTTTATGCACATCAGGCAAGCACTCTGTCAGAACCACACCCCAGGCTCAGGTCAGGCTTTGACATGGGAGATTCTCTGTCTCCTGTGTCTGGGTCTGCCCCACTGTGCAGTAGATCTGCCTAGATTTCACCAAGCCAGGCTGCCTGGAGAATTACCGCCTGTGGGCCATGGGACATCTGATGCTGTCGTGCAATGTCTGTTCCTCGGCCACTAACAGTGGGTAGGTGGTCTTGAGGAAGAGGCTCCAGACATGGTGGTTTGTTCCCTAGAGCACAACAGACTGTCCATGAGGGAGGCAATCAGAAGAGATGGCTTCAGGGGTTGCCCTGGTGTTGCCTTCATCCCAAGACAGCAGTCATTCCTGTATCTGGCCTTGCTCTGCTCACCCAGGTCCTCTCTGCCTGTCCATGATGGTTGTGGTGGTGGGGTGCTTGTGGGCAGCAAGACACTCATCCACCTCCGTGACAACCCTGTTTCTAGGGCTTCCCCGTTTCTCCAGCCCAATTCTTTGCTGGCTGGAGATGTGGCTCAGATGGTAGTGTGCTTGTTTAATTTAATAGAAGTCCTGTGTTCAGTCCCCAGCACTATAAAAACAAGGCATGATAACACATGTGATAGTCCCAGCAATGAAGAGGTAAAGGCAGTAGTATCAGAAGTTTAAGGTCATCATTCACAACATAGTGAATTTGAAGCTGGCCCAGGATGCAGGAGGCCAGATCTGAGAGAGAGAGAGAGAGAGAGAGAGAGAGAGAGAGAGAGAGAGAGAGAGAGAGAGAGAGAGAGAGAGAAAGGAAGAAGAAAAAAGAGAGAGAAGGGTGGTGAGTGTGAAGAAGGCAGGAGCTGCTTACTGTAGTGTGAGAGGAGGGAGCAGTCTGAACCTGTGAGCTGTGAGCAAGCAAGTATGGGTTAGGACTCAGGACAGTGTCTGCTCTCTGTAAACAGCTTGTCAGGCTGGCGGTTGTGGAATATTATTTTAAGGTGTGTTACTGCTTTTGTTAACAATGCAAAGACATGTTACATTTGTTTGATTAGATTGATGTGTGGTCAAGAGGCTGTGTCAGCAACTAGTTGACAGAAAGTGGTAGAGTGGAACCATGTGTAGTGGGGGTTCTTAAGTGGGGGCAGAGCAGAAGGATGGGTTGCTTTTTGGGTGCCGCAAGCAAGGAGAGAAGGTTAGCTCTTTGCTATTCGCCTGAGAGCAGAATTTTACTTCAACCTTTGAATCCTGTGTTCTATAGAAGGGTAAGGATTAGATAAGGTTTTTTTTTAAATTGTTGTTTATTTATTATGTATACAGCATTCTGTATGTGCCCCTGCAAGCCAGAAGAGGGCACCAGATCTCATGACAGATGGTTGTGAGCCGCCATGTGGTTGCCAGGATTGAACTCAGGACCTCTGGAAGGGCAGCCAGTGCTCTCAACCTCTGCGCCACCTCTCCAGCCCTAAGTAAAGTTTTCCTTAGTTGCAGGGCAGGAGCAGTAATAAAGAAAAACGACAGGGCAGGTCCTTCACCCCCTGAGCCATCCCACTGTCCTGGAGGAGATTTAAGAAAGAAAGAAAGCCGGGTGGCGGTGGTGCACGCCTTTAATCCAAGCACTCGGGAGGCAGAGCCAGGGGGATCTCTGATCTATGGAGCGAGCAGGACAGGCACCAAAACTACACGGAGAAACCCTGTCTCAAAAAACCAAAAAAAAAAAAAAGAGGAAGAAGAAGAAAAGAAAAAAATTAGACTTAGGCCTGCCTCAGGGAGAGAGAGGGCTCCGTGTACTGTTGCTTTTTCCTTCTGCCTTGAAGACTAACCTAACCTCAAATCTTCTGATGGTTTCTTGTGCAGTCTCTAAGCTGTTATTGACTTTTAAACTATTGCAAGTTCTTTGTTGATAGTCTCTGATGAGCTACTGCTTTCTCTGTCCTTTCAGTCCTTGAATATACTTACAATGGTTTTGCACTTATTTAATTTTGTGTATGTGTGTGTGTGTGCATATGTGTGAGTGAGCACACCACAGTGTGCATGCGGAGGTCAGGGGACAACTTGTGGGAGTCAGCTCTTTCCTTCCACCATGTGGGTCCTGCAGATTGAACTCAG